TGAGTTCTCCTCTCCCACGCTCTGCCCTCTCTCTCCTAGAAACCGCCGTGGCGCATGATCGCACTTGGCGAGAAGAAAGGAGGAGAGGTAGCAGTTGGAAAAAGGCGAAGGAACAGGACGAAAACCCACTCCCTTCCCCTATTTAAGGATAAGCAGCAGTTGGAGAAAGGCCAAGGTGTGGGCCGAAAACCCCTCTCCCTTCCCGATTTAATGTGAACAGGCATGCGAAGGGGCGCGTCCTGACTGATGGGACTCGCCCTGCCCAAACGTAGATAGGCATGCAGTGGGACGCGTCCTGACTAATGGGACGCGCCCTGCCCGACGAGATGGTGTCTGGTTAAACGGGACGTGGCCTAGGCATGGCCCACCACTACCGCACGCCACGCGTAGCAAACAAGGCGCAACCGCACGTAGGCGGCCCTCCGCCTTCCTAGGTAGGACTTAGAAGGGCCCAACAACGGGATCTTCGCCAAGGAGAGACCAACGGGCTTCCTGAGTCGATTGGACGGCTCAAACGAATGCCGAGAGACATGTAAGGAGTAGAGGGATGCCCCATGCGGGCTATGCCGTCTCCATCATGAACGATGGACACGGGTACCGATCGGACATAATCGATAGGAGCTCCTCGAACCCGTCACTCCAGTCATCAAGGTAACTTTACCCAACCTTCTTATTTTATTTTATTTTCTGATGCATGATCATTCATTCATCTTTTCATACACGCATTCACACATTCATCCATACAATCATTCATTCATCCCATACATCCAAAGCATTGCATATGCAATTGATGCATCACAACGCTTCGTGTTGCGTCACAAAGCGGTAGTCGCCTCATTCGACATGAGCAACGATCGACCGGGGTTCGAAGGCCGGCCCGCGAAGGGCTCGAGGCCGCCTCACGTCAAATAGAGCTAGGGGAGAAAAATGTAGATGAGCCCCAGCGGCCCTCTCCTGGCCTGCTCAGAAGCAGATAGGGTCATCTCGACCTTCTCGTTCAATCCTAACCTTGAGCCATGCCCACAGAATCTCCATCAAGGGGAGGCCAGTGGGCCACCTGAGTCGGTCTCCGGAGCGGCTCGGGCATCTGCCGGGAGGCGGGTTAAGAAGCAGTGGAATGCCACATGAGGGCTATGTCGACCCCGTTATGAACAACAGATCCGGATTCTGCTCGGACATACCCGTTAGAGAGCCATCGAGGCAAGCGACGTTAGCTCAGCCCCTCCGGCTGCGAAAACCGCAGATGGGGTAACTCATGTAACTAGACCAAGCCCTCGGCCGTGCCCGATGCCTGGGTCCATGACTTCGACTCGCCAACCTCTCGACGCGCCTGACACCTTGGATGGCGACTCCGACTCGCCCGATCCCTCGGCGTGCTCGACGCCTTGGTTGGTGACTCCGACTTGCCCAATCCCTCGATCGACTCAGTGACTCCAACTCGCCAGATCCCTCGGCCGCACCCAAACGCCTAGGGCCACGCTCCTGGAAACAATGGCTCAGAAACTAGAAAGGGGAGGCTACGCCCACCAAGGTACACTCGCACACGCCCGCTGGAAAAAAATCCCCCAGATGATTCTACCTAAATCGCCCGGGGGTTCGGGGGCTACACCCACCGGGTGCGTTCGCGCGCACCCGCTGGCAAGTCGAAAAAACCCCTAGGCAATTCTACCTAAATCGCCCGAGGGCTCGGGGGCTACACGCACCTTGTGCCCGCGCGCACCCGCTAGAAAAATGAAAAAAGCCCCCAAACGATTCTACCCGAATCGCCTGAGCGCTCGGGGGCTACACCCACCGAGTGCGCTCGAGCGCACCCGCTGGCAAAACGAAAAAAACCCCAGGCGATTCTACCTGAATCACTCGGGGGCTCGGGGGCTCCTGTCGGGTTCATAAAACTGGGGTCCCTAATGGGCCTACTTCCTAGCAAAAGCTCGGCCCAGCAGACGACGTTGCGAACGACGCGCAACTCCTGGGCCGGCCCAGATACCTAAACGATAGGCCGAAAGAGCGATCCAGTCTTTGACCGAAAGGCCTGGACAAAGAGGGGATAACGCTCGCTTCCGACTCCGACCCATGTCTCCGACCGGAAGGCCGGGCCAAGGAGGGAGCGACCCTTGCTTCCGACTCCGACCCACGTCTCCGATCGAAAGGCCTGGCCAAGGAGGGGGCGACCCTCGCTTCCAACTCCGACCCGCTTCTCTGACCAGAAATACACCGAACCTCTACTTATAGCTCTTCTCCGACCGGTGTAGTCGGACCCAACTGGGAATGATCGACCGGGGGCGCCCTCTCGGTGAGGACCCAGGAAACAAGCGGAGCAAGTAAGGTAGGGCGCCCAAGTCAACCACAATACCGAGGACCGTACCCTGCACACCTACAGGACAGTACTGTCAGGTCATGTCAGAAGGGTACTTTATAACCTTCCAGATATGTCAGAACACGAACAGTGTTGTGGGCACCGATATTTGTCCTACAGTATGGTAGGCGCCGACATCTACCGTACCAGAAGAACATGATGAAGTCTACCACATGCATCTGGGTGTCAATAGTATTATAGGCGCCGACAAACCATGTTGTACCCGACGGCGTGGGCAACAAGACTAGGTAGCTCACACACTCTCTCACACACTTGTAAGGCCGTCCCTTTCATCTATAAAAGGGGATGCGCCCTCTCCCAACAGAGGAGGACAGAGGAGAACGATTCGACACACACACGATTGATTCCAACTCTCTCTGCTAGGCTTTAGAACTCTAAGCTCCCGTCACTCTTGACCCCTCGGTCCAGAGCCCAATAGGTCTTGCGCCCCCCATCTTATTCCCTCTCATTTGTAACCCCACAGCAAACTTTGAGCACCTGGGCTCAGGAATAAGTCATCGACAAACTAAAATTGGGCGTAGGGCATGTTGCCTGAACCAGTATAAACCCTGTGTCATTGAGTGCTAGGCCACATCCGATCATAACGCACGACAAAACTACAAATATTTACTTGTTGGTCACTTTTCGCACCGACATCCCCCATTCTTCACCTTTCACTTATAGGACTTGTGGTTGTGTTGGTCATCAAACACCAAAATCCAAAGTAAATAGGCCTAGGGTCCATTTTCCTTACACGCGGTACCCATATACTCCTAGGTCGTATGAGTTCTTTAGGATGATATGATGCACTTGTACTCGGACACCCATATACTGATGGAACATGTAGTATGTCAAGTAATATCGAACTTATGTATTGATAAACTTGTGCTGTAGTTATGACTTGCTGAACTTATGTCGAACAGATGTATTATCGAACTTGCGATGAACTTGGGACGTGTACAAGTTAGTATTGCTGAACTTGTGTACTGATTGTCTCGTGCACTTAACCTTCCTACTGACATATTCGTTAAACCGACATGACGAAATAACTTGGCTCATGTGAGAACATAACAGAAGTGCCTTGTTCCATTTGCTGCCGCTTTTACCGCCGCACCATGGCTGGGGGCGCGTCAGCCTTGCCATGCCATGATGCATGGCGCGTCAACCCTGCCACGTCAGCGACCAACGGGCCAAGACGTTGCCACGTTGGCACCCCTGCCGCGCCCCCATGCATGACGCGGCAACTTGAATTCGCCGCGCCATGCGAATAGGCATGACCAAAAGTGTTAGATTTAAAAAAAATAAACAGTGTCAGATTTAAAAATAGTTTTAAAAAAGTGTTAAAAAATCGCGTTGGGCGCGCAGACCATCGGACGCCGGGCGCGAGAGCAGGGAGGGCGCGGCCGAGCGCTGGGATAATTCATAACATTTTCGTATAAACTTGGATAAAGACATTTTTGTATAAACTCCCTCCAACTATTTAAGTCTCTTGGAGTTGCTAAAGATTTTTATAAAGAGTTGCATCGAAAAATAATGCGTAACATTTTCGTATAAACTTGGATAAAGACATAATTCATACAAAAATTATAGCTCTCAACACGATCTACAACTTTATAATTGAGAAATTCTTTATTTTAAACTATTTAGTCTCAAAATATTATTTTAAGTTCATAGATTTTAAAATTAATTAAAATTTAAAAATTTTAAAGAACTTTGGAAGTTAACATGGTATATACCAAAGTTATATTCTGAATACAATCTACAACTTTGTCTTTGAAAAGTTGTCGTTTACAGGCCCAAAATTTTAAGTTCATAGATTTTGGATGAAGATAGTACTACTTTCGTCCTGAAATACAAGGCATCCAATCAACTTTAGAATCAAATAAGGAGTTTGGCAATTGCCTGTCACTAATTAATTAGTTTGGTTGTCAATTTCTTATTTTTTGTTGCCAACTTCTTAATTTTCTAGTAGTGTATAGTTTGAGAAGGCATGCATGCATGTCAATAATTTCGGCTACCAATTATAGGAGTTATTTTGGGCAAGATGATGTTTAAAAAGCATGCATGGATCCAAAATACCTTACAATTTGGGACAAATTTCGAATCTTTGATATTTTACCTTGAATTTTAAACGGATGGAGTAATATATAAACAAAGGAGAGGTCTACAAAAGGGTGACCAACAAGAGACAAAAATGAAAATAGAGAAAATCAAAAGATCTATAGTTGGGCCTCTAGCCATTATTCAAAATGATTTTTTTAGGTTTAACTCTCCCAATAATTTTGGCCTTTAATCCTCTAACCTTTAATCATGGCTTCATATTCGACTAGAGTTGCCAATTCCTTTGGCCTTCAATCCTCTAACCTTTAATCATGGCTTCATAACCTTAGAAAAGCATGCATGGATCCAGAAAGCAAACTTGGCTTAGTCTTTCTGTAGTGTGTCGTGCTTATTCACTCTAGGTACACAAATAACACCAGTGCACCGAGACATAGCAGTTCCTGACCTGCACAAAAATCTTCTTCCCACGTGTCATATATCCTATGGTCCACCATATGTTTAGTGAAACAAATAATTGAGTCCCACCATCTGGAATCGTACACCGTTCGTCCACCAGGTGCAATAGAATCCGGAAGCAGATGGTGTATCAGTCTTCAATCTTCCACTCATGTGTATGTCTGAACTTAAGTTTGGGAGACTTGGTATGGGCGCTTACCGCGCTCTCGATATCACAAGTTGCGTCTATCACCTGATTTAGTATTGTGTCCATGCCCTGCCTGAAAGATATATTAGCCATCCGGGTCATAGTGGTCCTGACAACGACTGAATCACTATTTAGATAGAATATACATTCGACTTGGTCAAGATTGGAGAGGTGTTGGATGCCGAAATGGAAAACCCCTGTACCCATTAACAGGCCCATCCTTTCTGGACTGAACATGATAGTAAACTTTTCAAGCATTGGCATGGCTCCAGCTCCAAACATCACTGGCATGGCACATCCAAAGTCAAAATGCCTCAGGGAGTGGAACCTGTCGCCACCGCTGATGGTGAACCATCTTCCATGGAAAGATTCATGAGCTATCAGACGAAGAAACACAAGAGCTGGTAGGCACCCAAGTGCCATGACATCTTCCACCTCAAATTCCATGACATAAATAACTAAAATTTGAAGATTGGCAAGGGATCCTGCCAAATTTGGAACCTTGGAGATAAAACCCTCCTAATTTCCAATTTCTGGAGGCCACGTGGAGCACAACTTTCTGAACCCAGAGAGAAGCCACCAGCGACATGGAATGACAGAGATTGAAGCTTGCCTAGTTTAGAGAGAGAGAAGACTATATTGTCCATGTACTCCTTGGAGTTGCTTCCCACCATATCAAATTTCTTGCGATCATTAGGATTCGAAAAGAAGCTTATGCTCCTAAGCAATGTCAGATGGCCAAGTTCTTGGGCAAAGTCAATTGGTTGCTTGAAGACATCAACACCTTCTAACTGCTCCAATGCTGTCATGCTTCTGATACCAGATGGTAGCACAACTCCTCTGTCTACAACCAAATGTGCCAATCTTTTAAGTTCAACAATACTTGCTGGCAATTTTCTGGATTTCCCCATAGATATGTCTAGTGTCTCAAGATGCTGTAATTTTCTGATTTGTTCGGGTAGTTCACAAACTTTTGTATTACAGAGAATCAGGTACTTCAACCGAAATAAATTCCCAATGTTAGCAAGATGATGACTTTCCACTTGGGTGCAGCCACCCAAGTCCAAAACACGCAATGAACTGAAGCTCGGGAACAATAGGAGCACTTCTGCAGCATAGCTAAACATTGTAACTGGCCGGAGATGGGATAAATCCAGATCTTTCAGCTGAGACACATTCTCTACACTGTTAGAATGGAGGGATAGGCGACGGACCTTTCTATGTGGACCAGGCATTTGATAACCATCAGAGAATATAGTAACAAAATTCTCTTCTTCAGATTTGGATATGATAAAATCCAGAATTGTATCATGGACTTGACAAACTGTTATCTCGCCGTACATGTTTATGTGCTGTGCCTGGATCAAGTTTCTATTGATGAGCTCATTGAAACACCTTTCCCCTAATTCATACAGAGTACATCCTTGTTCTTCTTGAATAAATCCCTCAGCAATCCATCCCCTTATCAAACACCTCTTGTCAATTACAAAATCCTCTCGAAATGTACCTAAATACAATAGACACGTCTTTAAATGATGAGGAAGGTCAAAGTAACTAAGTGATAATATCTGAACCATGCTTTGAACCTCTGGATTTTTTCCTAGTTCATGCCCAAAAGAATTCTGCACCCTGTTCCATTGATCTTCGGTCTGTGGTTTATTGGCAAGCAAACCAGATATGGAAATGATAGCCAAAGGTAAACCATCACATTTTTCCAATATCTTATTAGAAACTTCTTTGAGATGTAAAGGGCACATGTATTGGGAGCTAAATATTCTTTTGTGGAACAACTTTTTTGAATCTGCAGGAGTAAGTGGCCTCATTTTGTAAACAAGAGAACCATAGGATGAGCAGCATGCTTTAGCTACACCATGTATACGAGTTGTTGTGATTATTATGCTTGGATCTTTATCCTGGATTATTATGCTTTTTTCTCTCTCTGGAAACAGCGCAAACCTGATGATATCCCATGTTTTTATCTTCCATATATCATCAACTACAATAAGATACCTGCAATATCGTTTTAACAATACTTTTTAATATAAGGATTAAATAACCTATTCTGTATTATAAAAATAATTAGTATTGTAGAAGAACTATTGGTCCACAAAATAATGAACAAAGATCCCACATTCCCTCATCATAACAAAAACGAGAACAATAGAAGACATAAAACTTATACAACTAAAGGTTCATGCAGTGGGAATTTAAACGGCCACAGAAACTACACAAATACAGATAATCTAGCTCGGGAACAAAAAAGTGTTAGTATTTTTAAAAAAGGTTCACAAAAGATTGAATTTCTTTAATTTTACTTGGCTCAGGTTCAACACCATTAGGAGGATCACGGCAAGTGCCAAGCCTAGTAGGAGCATGTTTCTTTTACTAAATTATTCACTGAGAAGTAGAGGCCAAAGCTGCAATGGATTGTAAAAATGGAACTATATTGGTAGGGGATTAAACAATGTATCAACACCCTTGTAACAAAAGCTAATACATTAGTTTATCAAAGGAAAGAAAACATATAAGTTTGTTTCCTCTACCTTTTATCCTTGAGGAAATCAGTGATTGTGCCAATGATTTGTTGGATACTCCCTGCTTCAGTGGATGCATAAGGTTTATTGCTTACATCGCTGAGAATTGTTCTCAAAATTTTCATCATGTCCGGGTTTCGTGACACCGACACAAAAGCCCAGCAATCGAAGTCAAACTGGTTCTTTAACTCTACATATACTTGGTTTGCAAGTGTTGTCTTTCCCATTCCTTCAAATCCAATAATAGATACCACCTTCGGTGGCTCCACCTCAAGTGGTTCTGATGCAACACCTTGATACTTCCTTGCCAGCCATTTCATTAGCTCAGCTTTTGGTTCATCGATGCCAACAAGCTTTGAAGCATCCTCAAAGATAGCAAGAGCTCTATGGTCCATGGTCGCATTACTTGTATTCATGATAGTCTCATTACTCTTGTATCTTTTATTCCTGTCTCCCACCTCCTTGACTTGGACCTTGAGGTCTTCGACTACCTTTGCAATCCGGCGGCGATTCCTGACCTTGATCAAAAAAGTTTTGAATTTGTCGATGAAGCCCTCAGGACTAATAGATTTGTCATCAACATGGAGCATGAACTCGTCAAGGATATCCTCCATATCGTAGGAGAGCTCCCGAACCTCCTTCATCCAGTTCTTATCCTGTGGATCAGGATTCTCCTCTTCTGACATCTTGAGAAGGAATGAATGCATTGCAGCAAGCTCATCCATGAGAGACTGCACCTCGCGGCGCACCCGCTTGAAGCGCTTGTACTCATCACCCATCAAGGCCGTAAGCTTCTCTAGCACGGGCTTCAATGCCCCAGTCGCTGCGCTCACCAGTAGCCCCTCCATATGGATATGGTGCGTTTGTATCTCAGAGCTCACACTGAATTTGGTGTGACCAAGTGCAGATGTCGCAGCTGTTTGGATTGGAATTGGATGGAAGCCCACCTCTACCAGCGCTTGTAAATCCGATGTGCTATGCCTTAGCCCTTAGCCTCTACTCCTACTTCAGCCTGCAAGAGCATTATAGCAAGAATAGCACAAGATCAAACCAGCTGACGGGATCCGGTGGTGAGGATGAAGAATCCAACTGCAGTGCCAGTGCCAGGACGTGGAACGTGGATTGCGGATCTGCGGGGGTGGAGAAAAGCGGACCTTGTGGGTTGAGCGGAGCTTGAATTGGTGATGGTCGCACAACCTTGGCGAGCCAAAGGAGGAGGAACTGGAAGAGGCCGCGCCGGCAGCGGCCTGTGATTTAGCCACCCAAATCTAGCCCGCGCGTCGGAGGGGAGGGCGGCACGGCGGCTCCTCGAGGCTGCAGCTGAACAGTCCAGGCCACGGTCAACGGGAATGGCATATTACCCCTAAAATTTACTCCCTTTAACTATTTCAGTTGGTCTACTTTACTCCTTAATATAGCTCGTTATTTTTGTTTTTCTATGTGTTAGTTGAGTCTTAATATCAACTTTTATGATATGATAAAAAACTTTATAAGTTATGTTAGAAAAATATATTTTATTGCCATTGATCATACGGAGGTTGAGCTTTTGAGCTAGTCTAGTATTGACCAGACCATTCTTCAGAAGGAGCCATGTGTTTTGGTGATTCAGTTTGTGTTCTGCATAGCTGACAGGTAGGATTTGCCTGGCCTCCTCGCCGAATGATTTTATCTGAAGTTAAGATCTTTCTTTGCAATAGTAACCGGCAGAAAAATCTGCACTTCGGCTCTACCATGGCCTTCCAGACATTGTCCCAGGGACGGTCATTGAATGATCCTATCCATTGAGCATTATAGGTTGATCTTACACTGTACTTCCCCGTCTTCTGTGAATTGCCAGGTGATCTGATCAGGTTGATCGTTTAGTTATACTTGCTCCAGTAATGATCAGCTATTGATGATATTAAAAAATGTCACTATATTAATAAATATATCGAAGGAGTATGTAGTAGTGGCGGAGCCAGATAATTGAGCACAAGGGGGGCATGTATCTGAGTAGAACTAGTAAACCGTACCATGGTTATCGTCACATATATAATGGAATATGTTTCACAAATCCTAACCCAAAAATTACATATCTATTAACGCATCTGATCTAACTTTTTCAATTGGTTTCTTGGAAAATAAAAAAAACATGGTAGAAAGTAAGCACAATTTGTGTGAGGTGAATATTCTAGCCAATTTAGACTGTTGATTAAATGATTAGCTGGATGATATATTAGGGATTACCCGCTAGTGCTAGTGGCCTGCAGACAATTTGGACGAGAACCGACAGTGTCAATTTGGGACGCTGGCGGCGGCACGGTGTGGCGTCTCACATCCAGCCTCCCAGTCCGGCAGTACCGGCTTTCGGCAAACTGGCAAGAGAAGCCGAACAGACTAGAACAACAATATACGGCCAGCGGCCGTCTACGCGAGAAAAAGGAAGGCTCGGACGCCCGTATTCACAACCGTAATAAAGATAGCAGCCGGATAGGCTTAAATGGGCTGCTTCTTATTGGGCCTCTAAGACACTTCATGTTTGTGCTGAATGGAAGGGGCTAGATAGCTAGTATTACATACATGTATACTAACTATATACTACTACGCGATCTCGAAAAAACTATATACTACTACGTATATACTAAGGGATTACTAACACGTCGGGGGGTGCCAGCCCCCGTGCGCCCCCCCCCCCACCCCCCACCCCCACCCCCACACACCACTGGTGGTATATTTCAGAGATGCATGAAATTATAATATCGTAAATACTAATGGTATATCTTTGTTTAGCTAGTGTCCATGGTTGTCCCCACCACTAGAGCTATCAGCTCCTGACCGTACACCACAATTGATGGACACGGTATCACCGAAGAGCCTATCAAGTGCCACGTTGTAGTGCCCTAGCGTCGATGATCTAGGCCCGCAGCACCTTGCTGAAGCGCAGCCGCACAACGGCACGGTCATAGTGGCTTCAAGAGCGTCCCTACACATACTGCGCGCTTCGTTGTGCCAACGTTGTGACCCTCCGTGGATGTGCCCCCTCATCGCCTCCTTCGTCGGTGTCGTGTACCTTGCCTTTTGCCCTTGCGCACCATCTTTCTCCGTCGCCTCGCTCTCCATGTGCGGTCTCGATGTTGTCGCCCTCGCCTAGTCCTCCTTCTCAACCCTCTCGCAGAAGCTCTACGCTGCCATGCGCGTGGACAGCGGCCACAATGGGTGGTACGACATCGAATACCACTGCTGCAGCAACATCACGGTGTCCTACTCTGGTGAGCGCTTTGTCGCAGGGCCGTGGGTAGCATTCGACTAGCCGCCAAATAACTTGAAGGTGTTCGCGATAGCCATGAGGGTTGGGTCGCATCATGTTGTGTCCACTAGACAGTCATGGGCGCTAGGGGACTATTTGTTTGCCTCGACGTGGGGCTAGGCCAGGCTCCTAGGCTGCAAGTGGCCTTGTTTGTTTGCCTAGAGCCCACTAGAGCCTACCCAGCGCGAGCCTGGCCGTAGCAAAACAAAATCTAGTTTCGTTTCTCTCGGTCGTTGTTGGCGGTCCTTAACGACCAAATCTGACCGCCAAATAAGACATAAAAGAGGAGAAACTAGCAAAATTACACACATATGTTAATTATATTAACGTATTTCTACATGTATTGGAAGATCATGTTGGGAATACGTGGAAATAAGGGCAAAAGGCGCAACCAGGAAAGCGTAAAAGCATACTCTATACAAAAGATCAGAAGAAAGGCCCACCTACATTGCAAACATGGGCCCCAAACGTACATGGTTGCGCTCCTGGGCCAACAAGAAACCCACTAGGAGAATGTGGTGCCGAGCTGGCCTAGCCAGGGTGTAGCCGCACCCTTGCTGGCGCTCCTCAGGCCCAGGCTTCGCGTGGCGGTGCGGGCAGGATCCCATGGAATATTCCTCCGCAGCTGCCTCTAGGAGTAGTATAAGTGGAGGGGGAGAGCCCCATCTCTCTCACACACACCACACTTGAGCTCTCTCACTCCCACCTTTGTACTTTTACCTTAATTTTTAGTAGTATTTTGGATCAAGGCAAGCTTCATTAGAGAGCCTGGACTTCTAGGGGCATTCTTGGTATGAATAATATAAAGAATTCTTCTAAGTCTTTGCTCTCACTTTATCAACATAGCTATGTTATAGAATTACAGCATAGTTCTCGTGTTGATCATTTAGCATGTAGAACTTTACGCCTAATTGTTCATGTAACTTATATGGTGAGAATTAGAGCTAAGTTGAGGTGGAGGTTCATTGTACCTTAGGGTTTGCCCTTGTTATTACTTGTTGATCCGTAGGGTCAGAGTCCCAAGGGGACAAGGGTAGTTTCCAAATACACGGGCGTGATGCTTGGGTATATCGGGAACCAATGAATATGACTGTACTCCATGGATAAGTGGGTAGGTAGCAGGTGGTGACAACCCTGTCCGTCCCTTGTAATCTCCCACGTTCGGGTATAGTGTAGGAGTTCATAAATTGCCACATGAGGTTGCTGGCAGACCAGTACTCAGAGGTTTCTCCGTCCATCTATATGCTTAGGTCTAGGACTTAACCGTATATGTGTATGATCATCTGCTAATCTTAGCATAGCTATGTTAGGACATGCCTGCTCTAGATTAGGAATATTCTTTATTCTTTCTTTACTCTTTATCCTTGAGATTGGCTTAAGAGTGTGTGTCACACTATCCAGATTATATCCTATCCTACCCCTGTATTGGACATTGGTCTAACATACACAGTCACATTATCTTGTTCGTGTCCCCACTAGAGTCTTTTACACTATGCCTTCATTTGGGAAAATATAAATAACGATACCCTTAATACTTTCAGGTGAAATGCTACAACGATAATTCCGTGCGCTTACGAATTATTTCTGTAAACGTTAAGAACTGTCATCAAGGCATTTCTGGTGTCATTACCTGGAAACACAAATCTTGGTAGTGACGCTAAGAAATGCCAACAAGCATTTCTGGCGCGATTGCCAGGGAAGGCACTAGTGAAAAGAATCTATTAGGACATGTCCATGATAATATGAATGTGTAGAAGCCATTGCTCATACATGCTAATCTCTGCTTGTTTTCTACTGTTGTGGATGAAAACATGATAGTGTATGACTAGATTCATTCTGCCAGAAAACTACATAGAGAACCCGAAGGCACTCCTAAGGAAGAACTGGTCTCATATTGCTTCTTCTGCCACTCCGTCGACAAACGAACCAGTCGCTTTAGCACAACCCGCAACTAATGCCATAGCCCAAAAGACTCTTTGTACTTCTTTGTGCCCATTGTCGCCAACGTTCCTGTTGGGCCCACTATTGACACGGCCAACAAGAACATCGAACTGAAGACGGGCCTGATCACGATGGTGCAGGCAAACCCCTTCTGTGGTTTGCCGCACCGGAGATCATTCAACTCCATCTGTTTCCCTTCTCCCTTGTGGGGAAGGCGAAACAGTGGTTCTATAAGGACCAGGAAGTCTTCAACATGTGGGCAAAATGCTTCATGACATTCCTCACCAATTTTTTCTCCATGGGCAAAACCAATGCCCTGAGGGGAAGAATTTCAAACTTCCAACAAAATTCTATGAAATTAACCCACGAGGCATGGGAGAGGATGCAAGAATACATACTTGCTTGCCCACACCATGGGATAGAAAACTAGCTCGTGCTCCAGAACTTCTACAAGGGGTTAACCCCCATGTCAAGGGGCCACATTGATGCCGCTACTGGAGGAGCCTTCCTCTCGCTCACCATCAATGAGCTACGACTCTCATTGAAAAGATGGTGTCAAATCAAGGCTGGAGCGACAAGAGGCTCCAACATAAACAACAAAAAGCATGCATACCGTGAAGG